AGGTCTTGGAATGACTTCCACATCTGTGCCTCCCGAGTCCTGTTGCACTGCCCAGAGGAGGCTGCCGCTGTGTGGGAGTCACTACAGCAAGAAGCTCGCCGGGCCGCGCACCCGGATAATTTGCATGCTCTGTGTGGCACCCCTGTGCGTATTAGGGAGCATGGCACAGGCCCTGAGACCAACCAGGAGACGCTGCAGGCAAGAGCATCTGCACCCACCCCCGCCCCAACACCCCCACTGCTGGCAGCTGCTCTGGCGCTCGCCTGCCTCCTGGGGCCTCTGGCCTAGCCAGTCTGGTGGAGTAGCAGCACCCCGGCCTCCTACCGGGGCTCTGCAGAGTGCCCTTGGCTTTCATTAAAGGTATTTATGTTTGTACTAAGCTCCTTCCTTTCTTCTGGCCACAGCCAGCCCCGCTTGCTTGGGGCAGAGCCTCCAGAAGCTGATCCCCAGGGATGGATGGGCGGGACCCATGGCCACCACAGGACTCAATCTTTCTACTTACAGACACTCATTTCCCAGGGCTGGCTGTGCAGTTTTCCATTGTGTGCAGGTTCCAGGAGCTCTGGTGGTGACCCGAAATCTTCCAGAATGCACAGCCTTCCTCTGTTCTCCTGGGCTGGCATTTCTACCTCCTGCCTGCCCCTCCCTATTCTGGCCCCTATGGGCATGTGAGGGGGTGAAGTGTCCCACCCCGCCCCCAACCCCCTTGAGCCAGTTCACCCCCATCCCCAGGTTCGTTCTGGCCTCCACGTTCCTACCATCTCTGCTAACTACCATCTTGGCCTTCAAGACAATTAAGTGCTCTTTCCTCTCCCTCTCCGGGGTCCTGGTCTACCTAAGGGGAACCTGTTCCAGAAGGTGGGGAGTCCATATTGGGGTCTATATTCAAGTCCCTGAGGTGACCTGGAGCTGCAGAAACTGGGGTCCTGATGAGGATTCCTCTGGCCTCTGCTGTACCTTGTTCTTTGAGAAGAGGTATGCAGTGTGAAGTCGATAATCCCAGAAGACTTTCTGGAAGCATGGAATGAGTATGTGGTGTGTGAGGAAACCCTGTTCATCCTGGTGGAGAAGAGCAAGAATCTGCATGGGCAGAATCCTGAGGGAAGGAGGAGTCCTCAGAGAGGGTGAAACCCTCTCTCAATCAGTCCTCCACCACCACCTCTAGGACCTTACTCCAAGCCACCACCCCATGACTTGTGTGGGCAGTGCCATGGCCTCACTGACTTCTGCTCTCATTCCCTCTGCTTTATCCTCCCCACTTTTAAATTTAGAACTGATTCCGATGTTAAAGCTCCTTTTCATTGTCTATGAGTCCCTGCATAAGCCAGTTCTGCCCACAGTTGATTCAGTCCACTCCTGCGACTCCCCTCTGTCTGAGCATGGAGCAGGAATCTACCTACTCAGTCCTTGGCATCAGGGGAGGTCTCAGGGAAGGCATGTGATGGGGGGTGATAGAGGAGGTCAGGATGTGAGACTTACAGGTGGTGGAGGAGAGATGGGGCTGAGTTGGAGAGGGCTTTACAAGAGGAGCTCAAAGGAATCAGGGTAGGAATCTAGAGCTTAGCAGACTAGGTTTACACTAAAGCCCCCCATGCTGGGGGGCTACTGCCTCCAGGACAGAACCAGGCCTAATTGAACCCTTGTTTGGCTCCAGTGTGACAGGTGCCTCCAGAGACCTCCATCCTTGTGTATAGGAGCCCTACTTCATCCATTCTTCCCAAACACCATCCCATTCCAGTTAGCTCAGATACCTCAGTCAACTCTCTCTGCCCTACCTTTGTTCCTCTGCTTCATTCACCTGTACTTTTATCTCCACTTCTCCCAACCAGTCATTTTTTTTTTTTTTTAAGATCTGGGTTTATTTATTTTTTTAAAGATTTTATTTATTTGACAGAGACACAGCGAGAGAGGGAACACAAGCAGGGGGAGTGGGAGAGGGAGAAGCAGACTTCCCGCTGAGCAGGGAGCCTGGTGTGGGGCTTGATAACCAGGACCCCGGGATCATGACCTGAGCCGAAGGCAGACGCTTAACGACTGAGCCACACAGGTGCCCCTTCCAACCAGTCATTACCCATCTTCTCACATCACCTAAAGGAGAAAGTTCAGGAGAAAATCTCTCCCACATCTGCCCCACTTTGACCACCAGAATTTTCCAAAAGGAAAGGCCAGGCTTTTATCCCTTTGGGTCTTTTTTTTTTTTTTTTTTGAGATTTTATTTATTTATTTGACAGCACACAAGCAGGGGGAGCAGCAGAGGGAGAGGGAGAAGCAGGCTCTGCTGAGCAGGGAGCCCAACAGACGCGGGGCTCGATCTCAGGACTCCAGTATCAGACCTGAGTGGAAGGCAGATGCTTAACCAACTGAGCTACCCAGCCCCTCCCCTCTTTGGGTCTTGGTACATTTATTCTCTGTACTCAGAATGCCCTTCTCCATATCCTCCTGGTGAACTCCTTTTCTTGCTCAGCATCACTTCCTTCCTAATCCTGACTCCAAACCTGAATCAGAAGCCTCCTACAGGTCCACACAGCTCCCCAGTTGTCTTCTTAGTACTGATGATAACACTGGCTTACTACTGTTTGGGTCCAGGTCGGAATTCTCCACTCTGGACTCCCCAAGCGTCCTCTTTATGTCTCTAGCACACAGCTTAGGGCTGGGTATAAAGAGTACACTTGTAGAAGTGTGTGGACTCAAAGACAGAAACTCTAAGCCCAGCATAGAAAGTGTTATAGTCAACAGGGCGCCTGGGTGGCTCAGTTGGTTAAACAACTGCCTTTGGCTCAGGTCCATGATCCTGGAGTCCCGGGATCGAGCCCCGCATCGGGCTCCCTGCTCAGCAGTGAGTCTGCTTCTCCCTCGGACCCTCCCCCCTCTCATGCTTTCTCTATCTCATTCTCTCTCTCAAATAAATAAAAATCTTTTAAAAAAAAAAGTGTTATAGTAAGAGCTTGGATTGAGAATGACCTCAGGATGGAGGATGTGTCATTTGGGGCAGCCCCCTTACCTAGCTTGGGCATACTTTGGGAAGGATGATGCTGGGAATCCAGACCCCAAAAGTCTTCTCACAGCCCCTCTTGGTGGGTGGCCAGGAGCAGTCTGCTTCCAGGAGCAGGGGCTCAACTGCTTTGGCCAGCCATCAGGGGGATTACCATCCTCCTGCTGTGACCTACTTTACCCTGGTTTTTGCTCCCTAAGTCCCTGCTCTTCCCTGGAATTGATCGACCTGGAGTGTGTGCATGGGGGTGGGGACAGAATCTGCTTTCTGGCCAGGGGCTTAAGAGCTTTGTATCTTTTATCGCAGAGCTGGAGGAGAGGGGTGGGCTGAAAGCCAGACTGGGCCCTGGACACATCTGCCCAGGCCAGAGCATAATGGTGATGGTGTGTCTCACATTTACAGCTCTGTGGACATGGAATAGCTTATTGCTCAGGGGAGAGACTGGGGGATGAAAGTCCTGAACCCAGTCCCTCTGCATCAACATACCTCTTCATCTCAGGACCCTGTGTTCTTTGCCAGAGTCCAGACCAGCATCTGCCAGTAGCAAGGGCTCAATAAATACTTGTTGGATTAATTTGCTGAATGTCTGTAAAATTGGGGTGTTGTGTGTGAATTTCTAAGCCCCACCAACCCTAGAATTCCATATACCTTTTAACCTTCACAACAACTCTGTGGGGTCAGGATTATGATCCCCATAAAACATAAGAAAAATGAGCCTTGAGGAGAAGAGATGTCTTGCCTAAGGTTACACAGCTGTGAAAGTGTCAGAGCTTGGGATATGATCCCAGGTTTGTTTGACCCCAAAGTCATGCCCTTAATCACTAGACTTTTGAAACTGACTTTTTTTGGGGGGGGGAGGTGGGGCAGCAACGATTTTTAAAGGTGTTTTTTAATTCTTAATATTTTAAAATTTAAATTCAATTAACCAACACACAGTACATCATTAGTTTCAGATGTAGTGTTCAACAAGTCATCAGTTGCGTATAACACCCAGTGCTCATCACATCATGTGCCCTCCTTAATGCCCATCACCTGGTTACTCTGCCCCCCCACCTCCCAAAGGTGTTTTTTTAAATAAATTTTTTTATGAAACTCTGCTACGTGGAACAGACCATGATGTTCTATTGCTTTTAATTTATTTTTAGGTTTAAAGTATAACATTAGCTTATAAGTCAATTAAAGATAATTTCATGTATGAAGTAAATAATATTTTAACAAATGAACCGACAGAAATGAGGTAGATGGAAGGAGGTTACAATGCTCTTATTACCTCCAGCATCTACTCCCCGCCCCCCCGCAATTTGGGTTTATTGTAAAGTAGTGAGATAATTCTGATCTTCTAGAGATGTCTTAATGGTAACAATTTTTTTAAATCTACTTGATTTGCAGTCTCAGAATACACTTAAATTCAATAACAAATTAAAACAAAACAAAATTAGTTTAAAACAAAACACCGTTACTCCGATGTTAGCCCAAGACTAACTTCACCTTCATTGATCCTCAAGTTAACCATCTGCAACTCCACTGTGATGCAGGCCAAATTTAACACTGCTGAGGGCCTCAATTATTTTAATTGCAGTTAAAAAAAGTGATTTGCTAATGAAATTTAAATCGACCCTTTGCGGAGGCACTCCCAAAAACTTCTGTTGAAAACGCACTACGTCCCCCACTTTGCACTACAGGGCGTCCTTCTGCCCTAACCAGAAATTTGACAGTTTCTTCCTACCTCCCGGTAGGAAGGTCCCTCCCGGTGCCTACGGTGGGGGTACTTTGAGGGTTACTTAGACTCACCCAAGGTAGAGAGTAAGTTCCCGCCCCGACTACGTTGATTGGCAGGCCACGCTCGGAGCCGCGATTAAACGCGTAGCCAGTCCCTCCGGAGGTCCTCCCAGCTACCCGCCTCAAGGGCGGCCTGGGTTTGTTTTGGCGTAAAGCGCGCGCTGTGATGACGTCACGACGCTGACGCCTGAGGATGGCGGCGGCGGCGGCGGTGGCGGCGGCGGCGGCGACGACCCTGTCCGCGGTCCGGAGAGGGTCGGCACAGCCGCCGAGACGCCGAAGACCCCGCCGTCCGCGTGAGGTGAGGCGGCCCGGCCCAGGGCGACGGCCCGACGGGCGGGAGGGGCTGACGCCCTGCGGCCACGGTCGCTTCCTGGCGCCCTGGGCCTATTCCTGCCCAGTCTGGAGCCCTCGGCCGGAGCCCGGTGTGCCGGGGCCTACGGGACTGGGGAGCAGGCCAGGAGATGGCTGCTAGGGATCCCTGGTGTTCGAGGCTGGATGGGCCTCAAAACATGCTGCTGTGCTGGGTAGCCAGTCTCTGGGGCCGCGTGGGCCTGGTGGACATGGTCAGCTTCCCTGCCTGCTGTTCACCAGCCGGCGTCGGTCAGGGTGAACTAAGCAGGTTATCCTCACTGCCTTCTCGTGTCCGGCACCTGCTTCACACCCCTCCTTTGCGACTGAACGCTATAGCAGTTGTCGGGGCAGCTGGTCGCTTTCGTGTTCAGGCTGGGAAAAAGCAGGCTTGAGCGTAGCCGCGTTGCTTGCTCCGCAAGCCATCATCCTTCAGTTTATAGGAGGAAGCCCAGCTCCCCACGCTCACTCCCCCGCCACGAAGCTGCTGAAGTGATAATTCCCACCTGAAAATTTGAATAAGTCCTTCACTGCCTGAAACTGGATCCCTGGTGCCTACAGGATGAAGTCCAAGCTTCATAGCAAGGCGTTCAGCGCTCTTCATAATCTGGTAGAGGCCTAATCCGGAAGTCAACACCTGGGCACCTCTGCCCTCTGTTAGGGCACGTGAGCCCGCTGTGCTCGGTGTTTTAATACCTTTGTACTTTAGATACGCATTTTGTAATACTCTTCTTTAGCCCCACCCCCAATCACCAGAATGGAAAATTTACATCTTTGCTTTAAAATCCACCTTAGATTTCATTTCCTTTTCCAAGGGAAAAGCCTACCTTGCTTCACATGTAACCATTGGCTCCTCTGTACTTTTATTCATGTGACTACTGTTGAGTATATCATGTTGTGTCACTCGATGGTGGGTCTGGGTCTCCTGTCTGCATCTGAGTGTCTGGCTCTGTGCCTGGCTAAAGTAGGAGCTGAATGGACTGGGATAGGTTGCTGGTTTAAGACTAGGAACAGATTCACTGTATTATTGAGTCCCTATCAGGGGCCAGGATCTGACATGAGGACAGCAAATGGGTATCTCCTGTTTGCACATGCACATATATTCATGTGGTAGGTGGTGCAGCCTTGTCAACTTTGGTGGTCTAAAATCTCTTGGGGTAGTTTTTCAAGATACAAATTCAAGAATCTTACTCTCTGATATTTGGATTCAGAAGATCTGGAATCTGGTAGGAATCTGTTTTGAAAAAAACACCTCAGGTGACTTTACTCTGCTCCCTGGTTGAACATCTTTGTCATTGCACTAGGAATCTGTTGTGTCTTCTTTGTCCAGTGGGAAGGGCTAACTGTGCCATGTAGTCTCATTGCCCATACTTGGGAAGGCACTGTGATTTGCAGGTTAGTAGTATGGGCTTTGGAGTCAGAAAGACTTGGATTCAGTTCTTGTTTGTGAGATCTTGAGGTCCTTTGAGCCCGATTTTGCTCATTCCAAAATAGCATAATCATGCCTACTGTGTGTGGTTGCACAGAGGAGTGAGAGTGCACACAAGATGCTTAACACAGTTGGAACTCGGGAAATGGAAGCCACTGTTAGTACTAATGACTGTTTTTCCCAGAGTGTGTCCATTGTCAAAAGGAGATCTCAGGAAGCCTGTTTGCTCTCCAGACTGAGCCTCATGTAGGAAGCTGCCTTATATGACTTCCTTGAGGTAATTTCTGCATATCAAGGAAAGCTCTGACAAAACTGTGCTTCTCCTCAGGGCAGTTGCACTTGGTCATTCCTCTAGAAGAGATTTGGAATGCTGATTCCCTAGAGGGTGGGTTTGCTGCATAAGCACTTTGTCCCCTTCTAGTTGCAGTTCCTTTGCTTGTTAAGTTGTATAAATGAGCTAAAGTGCAGCTCTCAGGAAACCTGTTTGCCTCTGACCCTGAGCTAGAGTTGCACCTCACCTGGAATGGAATACCCCTGCAGATCCTACTGTCCATGGAATCTGAACTAGATAGTGGGGATCTCTTGTCAGTCACAGTTCATAGTTAAATGAGTGAGACTTTGGTTTGGCCTTCTGTCTTACCTTATAAGTGTTAGGGTGTTTTATGGGCAATTTTATCCTCTTCAGAGCTTCTCAACTGTGTGATATGAATGAGCTATAGGTGTGCCAAAGTATTGAAGCCTTAAGCTTCCAGATAGCCCAGAACAGCTGTCCCCCTCAACCCCAGGGTGCAGAGAGAAAAATCTGAGAAGTACAGCCCTGGAGGAACGGAAGCAATTCTGCTTTTTGAGAACTAGAGAGAGAATTATTTAGTTGAACTCCTTTTCCTTCCAAGAATCTTACTCAGTGACTATTAAGTGGATTTGTGTTGGCTAGGTCATCACTGAGCTAATTCTTGGGACAGCCTTCTGTTGCCGTGGTGTCTGATATGATGCTAAAGTAGAAAAATGTAGTGTTTTCATTTTGTGGGAGAAAATTATCTCAGCGGGTCCCCTTCCAGACTGCCAGTCTTGAAGTGGCCTCACAGGGCATCATAAAAGAGACTCTTGGTGTGGAACCATCTGTGTATAAGTTCCTTGAGAGCAGAGATTATGGCAGCCTTCTTTTTGTCTGTCACAGCCCCTGGCTGAGTTCCTGGCCCAGAGCAGGAGCTCAGTAAATATTTGTGGGTTGAACCTTGGGATTTTGGAAGGAGAACCCCAGATACATTGCCAGAGTCTGTATTTCTGATGATGGGCTGGCCAGTGGGTGGGATGTCTTAGATGGAGCTGGGGTCATGATAAAATGAGGCCACAGCAAACTTTTGAACTTTTCTACTTCTCTCAGCCCTAAGGCCAGAATCTCTGCCCACCAATTATTACCATGTAAAGCTTGGTACCTAGCTGGAGTCCTTGAGAAGTCGTGTCCTGAGTTACTGTATTCCAAGAAGAAGTCATAACAATTTTTATTACAAAATAATATTAAAAGTTAAAACATTATAGGAGTGAATGATGCACAGTGTCTTCAGACACAAACACTAATAATTTGGTATGTATTCTGGCACTTTAAAAAATTCGTATGATAGTCTCTATGTTTCTGCAATATGTATTTTTGTTAACTTTAAAAATTAATATGTGGTGATGATTTTAAAAAATAGCAGCAGCACAGGAATATGTGTAGTGAAAAGTGAGTCTTCCTTCCTCCCTCCCTCCCTCCCTCCCTCCCTCCCTCCCTTCCTTCCTTCCTTCCTTCCTTCCTTCCACCTATTTCCTTCACATTTACACACCCTAGAGGCAGTCACTGTCAACAGTTTGTCTTTTCCCTTTCCAGGATATTTTTCCCACATATATGTCTATATCTTTTTTTAAACCCCTCATTGGACATATGCTTCAGATACTATTTTAAACTACTTATTACATCATGGATATGGGTTCTGACACGAAGCCATTCAATAAAATTGACCGGTATCTTTTTTTCTTTGTCAGTATATATGGATTTACCTCATTCATTTCAACAGCTTCAGAGTGTTCCATTATATGAATGGATCTTAATTTATGTAATTATTCCCTTACTGATGGATATTCGGGTAATTCCATTTTTTTCATTATTATAAAGAACATTGCCAAGAACTTGCTTGTGCAAATATATCTTTGCATATTTGTGGAAATGGTTTTATAGAATTATTTCTGAAAATGGAATTTCTGGATGCAGTGTCCGTTTCCTTGCTTCAGAAAGCAGACTCACATAGCTCCCCCTAAGGTTGCTGAGATCCTTGTTTGGGAGTTTTCATCTAAAGAGACAAACTCTTTTTTTTTAAGATTTACTTATTTATTTGACAGAGAGAGACACAGCGAGAGAGGGAACACAAGCAGGAGGAGTGGGAGAGGGAGAAGCAGGCTTCCCACGGAGCAGGGAGCCCCATGTGGGGCTCGATCCCAGGACCCTGAGATCATGACCTGAGCCGAAGGCAGACGCTTAACTGACTGAGCCACCCAGGCGCCCCTAAAGAGACAAACTCTTTTGCCTGGTGTCTCTGCTTGCCTCGTGATGGTTAGAAGTGTTATTTAGCAGTTACTTATTTCTGGGATTACTGGAGATTACTGCCTACTTCATTTTGATAGATAGTCTTTCAAAACGGGAGCATGATATAGAGATCTTTGTAGGTGAAAGGTTGCGAAGCTTTTCTGTGGAGAACAGTCTTAGGGGACGTTACTGGAGAGGGCGGGGTGCCTATGGGCCTCTGCCTGGGACAACCACAGACTTGATTTATGTGGCCAGAAAATTGTTTCAGAACCCATCCTAAGCCCCTGCCCTCTTTCTTCCATGTGGTCAAGTCTGGAAGCTTGTGGACTAACTTGCCTTGGAGTTCAATTAACAGTCGGTACGACAAACAGACCTGAGAGCTCTAGCTTCCTTTGTTACCGAGGACATTTACACAGGCACCGAAAGAGCACGGTTCTGGTTTAGTTACCAGTCTGGGCTCTTCTTGCCACTTGAACATTTTGAGGTTCTGAGACTGTTGCCTTGCAGCAAATAGAAATCCAAGAGCCAGACCACCTTTCATTCATTGTTAGCAAACGTGAATGCCCACTCTGAACTCGGCACTTTGCTGGGTGCCAGAGAGTCCTAGAAACCTGAGAAGTGGCCGCTTTCTTCAAGGGGCTGAGAACTCTCGTGTTCTAAGGCAATCTAGAGTACAGCAGTGAGCAGCGTGACCCCGACTGCACTTGGAATGGAGGTTTCATAATACAGGCCCTTCAGAAAAGGCCCTCAGTAAAGGTTTGTTGATTCATCAGCTGAGTGTTAGGAGGAAGGATAGAGGCCTTGATCCAATGAGGCAGAGCTCTGCTAAGCCCCAGGCATTTCCAGAGTCTTCCTTGTGATGGAAGGAGCTCTGAATGGAGGACTGGGAGATTTGGGTCCATGCTTGGCCGTCACTGTCTAAGTTGGCTGTAGACAAGTTTCTACTTTTCTTGGCCTGTCA